ATGCTTTGGTTCCTAACACAGCAGATTAATTTAGCCTGTTCTCGATATTTACATGAATAAAACCACACACACCCGTTCTGCTTTGTCTAGCTACTTTAATTCAGCATAATTTGAGGTTCATCCCTGTTGTTGCAGGCATCAGTAGTTTTAACTTTTTTATGCTGAGTGATAGCTCATTGTGTGAGTTTGCCAGGACATTCTTATTGAATCACCTATTGAAGGACATTTTAATTGTTTCCAGTGTTTGGTTATGATGAGTAAAACCTCAAATCCATATATATATATATATATATATATATATATATATAGTTAATGAGCTAAGTGTCCATCTTAAAAAATTAGAAAGAGAATGGCAAAGCATCTTAAATAAATTTGAGAAAAGTAGATAATAAAACTAACAGCAGATTTCTGAAATAAAAAGAAATCATAGAAAAGACTGAAGAATGTCATTCTAAGTGAAGTAAGCCAGAAAGAGAAAGGAAAATACCATATGAGATCGCTCATATGTGGAATCTATAAAACAAAAACAAAAACAAAAAAACAAAGCATAAATACAAAACAGAAATATACACACAGACATAGAATACAAACTTGTGGTTGCCAAGGGGTGGGAAGTGGGAAGGGATAGACTTGGATTTCAAAATGTAGACTAGATAAACAAGATTATACTGTATAGCACATGGAAATATATACAAGATTTTATGTTAGTTCAGAGAAAAAAATGTGACAATGAATATATATATGTTCATGTATAACTGAAAAATTGTGCTGTACACTGGAATTTGACACAACATTGTAAAATGATTATAAATCAATAAAAATGTTTTAAAAAAAAGAAAATATATCAAAGTAAAAAAAAAAAAGAACACCCGGATGAAGCCACTGGAACGCATGCCTGACCCATCTCAGCTGGAGATACTGGCCAGTCACCTGGTCACTCCCTGAACTGGCTCTGAACGTATCCTGCCAGCTTCCTGGTAGTGGCTCCTCTGCCCTTCTGTTCCCAATAAAACTGGAACTTCTCCAAAGACAACAACTGTGAGTTATTACTGTCTATTACTGTGCTTGGTGCTTCATAGTTATTTAACCATTTTATCTTCATGATAATCCAAGAGGACATGGTCATTCTTATGGTACGAATGAGAAACTAAGAAAGAAGAGGCATTTTTTTTAATGTGCTGAGAGACTTCAAGCTAGGACAGGAGCCCAGACCCAGTCAACTGGGCTTGCGGTCCACTTATTCCTCCACTCCGGGGACTGTGGTCTCCTGTCCCCACTGTAGCGCTCCTGAAAGAATCAAACTTATATTTTCCATTAACACATCACAGCTGGAACCTAAGCTGGATCCAGAGCCCCATGCTCTTTGATGATCTAACAGTGAGGATTGATGAGATTCATTTATTTCAGGGTCTTCATCTAATAAAGAAATGTAATAGATGGAAAAAGAGAGAACAAAGGAGAAGTGAGGAAGAGAGATGCTAAAGCAAAACTTCTCTGTATCAGCACATCTCATTACCCGGGGAGTATTCATAGAAGTGCATCAGTACACACATGCACACAGACACACAGACACGGATGCCTGTATGTATGCAGTGGTGTGTAGACATGGATATATGCATCATGTATATATTTGACTCTAATGTATAAAACTGGTAAGGATTGGTAATTTGTGATTGTGAGTCACTGAAATGGAAATGCTAACCACATGTGAAAAACTCCTCCCTGAATGACAAATGCAAGTCATTCATCTCAACCAGTGGAACAGGAAGAGGGGACACTTGGGCATCCTGTGGCCTCCCGGTGGGGTATGAGTAGCTCTGATTTCTCTTCTTCCCAGTCACCGGGGAAGGTCACTGGCTGTGCTGGGTGGAAAATGCCCATCCCAGCCTCTGTACCTTTGCTCACGCTGTTCCCATCTCCTGAAACCCTTCTCAGTTCATCCTCCTCCTCCTTAAAAGGTCCAGCTTACGTCTTTCTATTCCAGGACATTTGTTCCTGAGCAACACAAGCTCACGATTCTCTTCTGGTCTGAAACCCCACATGACGAGTTCTGCTCTCCTGTCACTGCTGAGGCTGTTCTGAGCAGTTATGGGGATACACATGCCAGGTCTTCATTCTTTTTCTCCTTCCCCCGAAATTAGATTTGTTTTGCCTTCTTTTGGCAAATTGATTTTGACTAAATTTTGTTTCCTTTGAAAGAGTAGAATGGTGTTCACACTTTTAAGCAAGTAAAATTCAGTTCTCTGCAGGAGGTGGAGAAATGTTCTCCCGCAGAAGCCAGGGCAGATCTGGCCAGGAATGGCTGGCGTCAGGTCAGCTGCGGTGCCTGGTGATTCAGGGTCAAACACACTGAGCAACTGTCCATCTGGGCAATGAAAGTCCATGACTGCTGCTGCGGTGAGTCTCCCTGGCGGCCAAGACACATTAGGGCCCAGTGCTCATTCCTGGAACTCCAAGCACTGCCCTGCTGTCTCCAGTTCAAACACAGCCAGCTCAGTCAGGGGTCACACACGGCCCATTCGGGGCTCCCCCATTTGCCTCAATGAGCCCTCAAGAGAAGTTAGGCCACTAGGATCATTGTCTGCACTCCAGATATTTATCTTTTATGGCCTTTGAGCTCTTTATAAAGATATTCTCTTTAGATGCTCAGGGGAAATATTAAAGATCACTGATTAACAGAAGACTGATTCTCATTAAAAACTAATATAGTCATCCAAAAAATTGTTTATATTTTACTCATTATAAGGGACAGAGACAGAAATTTGCTAAGGACCCAGGACTCCTGAACTTGGGTCCTCGCAGTGACCTCAGAACTGGGGTGGCCTCTGCCCCAGGGCTCCCCAGAGCTACTCCAATGCATCGACTCCTACTTAGAGGACCAGAGAAAATGCACTGTCTTGACAGGTCTCCTAAAAGACAGTGAAGGGTTCGGGGTAGTAACTCACGCAACTAATTTATCCCTGCTTCTCTGTACCTTGATGGGTGACAGCCAGACCACAGGAAGTAACTGAAACTCTTAGAAAAAAAGGTAGTTACAAATTAACACAATGTAAATATAATAAAACAAAATCTGTTATCATAAAACCGAGAGGCAGACAATTGCTTTTCTTTTACAACACATCGCTGTCTCTAACTAGCTAGGTGACTTTGAACAGGGTACTTTATCCCCTCTCCTTCCAGACCTGAGTGGTTCCCTCTGAAAAATGACTGAACTTGAACTTGATGGCTTCTGAATGCCCTTCGTGCCCTGCAGCCCCAGGTGCTCTGGACAGTTGGGCAGGGACAACGGCTTCTTGGTGGCCAAGGCGTGGAGTGAGAGCAGTGTGTTGTACCAGATGCTTGCAGCCACGACTTGATTTAATTTAAGTGAGTAAAAACTTGAGCAGTTGCTGCAAAGTGACCCAAAACGGTGCCCCAGGTGTGCAGCTGCTGTTCATGTCCACCAGGGGTCATGAGAAGACCTTTGGTGTGTGATACAAAACTCCCCATAGAACGAAAAGGAGTGGTACACACAGTGAGCCTACAACCATGGGAAGAATGGACAAGATCTCGCCACTAACTGTAAAGCCAAGAGACACCTGCACGGAAAAGCAAAAGAACACACAACGACAGCTCTATTTTCTGCACCACAAAATCAGGGGAAAGCGTGAACACAGATCCCCACAACGACGAATTATGTGGTCAAGTTTCCCACATTTGGGAAAACTGCAGGGGTCAGCACATCCAGAGTGCAATGAGTAAGCCTCGCGGTGTGGAAACCACCTTAGTGATCATGGTATCTCCCCTGCCAGGCAGATTAGTTCTTAAGAACTATTCACTAAATACTTCTGGCTCTGTTTTCCAGACTTGGAGTAACACCACACCTCCTTGACACATGAGTAGAAGTGGCTTGTCACCTTCATGCCAGAGCACTGACTGCCAGGGTGAAACTGACACTGACACCATCACAGGTGAGTTGGACGAAGTGAGGTGTCGTCCTACCAGAGGCATCACTTGAAGGTAGAGCGGATAGGACTTCCCGCTGTGGGGCGGAAGAGAAAGGTGGATCGAGGATGCGCCAAGGTCATTAACCAGAACCACTGAGTGAATGGCATTGCCATTTTCTAAGATGGGGAAGACTGAAGGTGAGCAAGTTTGAAAGCAGATGTTAGACACCCAAATGGAGATGTCCCACAGGCAGGTGGATGTTTGGATCTGAATTTCAGAGGTCAGGAATAGAAATGGAAATGAGTGCAGATACAGGAGCAAGGAGACATTAAGGCTTTGCTTCAGAGCACCCTTTCTCAGTACGTTAACTACATTTACTTTAAAATTGTCCCGTTTTCCCTATTAGTCATATTTCCTTAGACATTACTTCTATTTGATCATATTGGGTATTAATTTCTAATATACTTGGAAAAATATTTCTAAAATCTAAAAACATTTTCTAAAATTTTATTTTTCCTACCCTGGACTCCTGCCCACACAGAGAGACTGAATAAAGTGAAAATTAATATAGTGACAGACTTTACTGTAGTCTCTGAGAGACTTCATTAATGTTCAGTGAAAACCCATTTACTTTATAAATCAGGATTTCCCTAACTCTTAAATATAAATAGTTACCTGAGAGTCACCACAGAGTTGGTAAAAAAAAGCCTTAAACATGAAAGAAAAACACCAAAACAAAGAACAAAAAGAACGTGGCACACCTGGCTTTTTAGTTGTGACAGATGTACCACGTCAGTACAAGCTGTTTAATGATGGGGGACCTGGTTGTGAGCTATGTAGGAACTTTCTGTACTATCCTCACAATATTTCTATAAATCTAAAACTATCATAAAACCAAAAGCTCATAAAAATAACAGGGTTAATGTGAAATGAAGAAGGAAAATATAATTAATAATTTTAGAGAAAAAACAGTATTTTGCATCCGTGAGGCAAGAGCCTTATGCCATAAAAAGGAACATCTAGGTAACAAGGAAGACCTCTTGGGAATTAAAAATATGGAAGCAGAATTGAAAGAATGTATTCAACATCTTGAAAGATAAAGAAATGTCCCGGAAAGTAGAACAAAAAAAGCAAAGAGATAGAAAATAGAGACAAAAGACCCACAGATGAGAGAAGCAGCTTAGGAACTGCAAGATTCAAATACTTGAGTTCCAGGAAGATAGCACGCAGGAAAAGGTGGAGAGGGGGCAATCTAAGACATAACAGAAGAAAATTCCCCAAAGGATGTGTTTCTTGATTGAAAAACTCCCTCAGGTTTCCAACATACTGATTATAAAAAGCCCCACAACCAGTTACACTATTGTAAAGTTAAAGAAAAGTGAAAATACAGAAAGCTCCTAAACCTTCTAAAAGGAAGGCTAGAAGGACAGGTCATATAAAAAGGATCCATGTAAAGATGGCATCAGACTTCTCATTAGCAATGTTAGAAGCCAGACAGAAGAGCAGTACCTTCCAGCTTCTCAAGGGAATGACATCCAACAAAGGAGTCTATCATTAACTATCAACCAATAACAAAAGTAGGACGAAGACACACGGTGGACCAGAATACGACATCAGGAATTTTACCAAAATGAAGCAGAAAAGGTCAAAAATTGGAAATTTGGGGGGGAAGCTAATTTATATAAAAGAAAAATACATACGTGTAAAGAAAAAGGAGTTCTTCGTTGTGGGAAAACACAAATACGTAACAACATGTACCATTGTAACCACTTCTAAGTGTGTAATTCAGCAGCATTAGCATCCTCTTATGTGCTTGGGGACTAGAAATGTCTGTTCAAGTCCTTTGCCCATTTTTCAGCTGGGATGCTTGTTTTTGCTGTTGTTCAGTTGTAGGAGATCTTTATATATTTTGGATGTTAATCTCTCATCAGTTATGTAGCTTGCAAATATTTTCTCCCCAAAATAGATTTTTTTCCAAAAGATAACATAAACGAGGAGGATATAGTCAAAGAAACTGTTCTAGAACTGAAGAAAGACACAATTCTTCAGCTTGAAAGAAAGCATCTAGTACCCAGAAGAATAAATTTTAAAATGCTTAACATTACTATGCCTAATGCTTGTGTGTGTGTGTGTGTGTGTGCACGTGTGTGTGTGTGTGTGTTGTGTTGTGTTAGTCTCAGTCTCTTGATAGTGATGCTGTTGGTTAAGGATGCCTGAGACACTTGCCCAGGGCCTGTATTACTAGTAGCCAGCCCCCACAGATTCCCTGACCTGAGCCAATGTTGTGACTGGTCCGGTCTTTATGATTCTTATTAAGATTGCAGGACGCACTTCAGCAAAAACCATCGGGGAACTTTGAGGAGGAAGATTTATTACTCATAGGTCTTGGAGGGTACACGGTGTGCCCCAGGGCCAAATTGTGAAGTCATGGGAGGGAGGGAGACAGATAGAGAAGGAGAGAGAAGGAGAATCTGGAACTCAGCCTTTGTCAGTGTCCAAGGGTGGGGTGTCTAGGATTCCGTAGGTTCACTTTGTCAGGAGGACGACATTTCCCTTCTACACTTCTAGATTCTTCTGGTGGGTCTAAGAATTAAATTGACATGAAATAGATTAACAGGAGAAAATCACACAAAAGTTTAATAACCTGTCTGTGTGGGAGAGACCCAAGGTAACTGAGTAACTCACCCAAATGGCTGAAACCGTCCCCTTAAAGACCATCTTCAGCTACAGACAAAATAGGATTTGGAGGGTAGTGGTTTGGGACTTCAAAGGGGAGAACCAAAAGCAAATATTCAGCAAACAAATGTTTGCTGGACCAGGCAGAGACAGCGGGACACAGAGAGGAACTGTAACAAACAGATCTGGCTAGCCTCCTCCCTCTCTACACACCCAGTTGGCACTTGGTTATCTATGGTGACAGATAACTTACTGAAACTTTCTTTAGGCAGTCAGGAGGATGGTCAAAGTTTCTTCCTGCGTCTTTTGGTCTTCACTTGTTTTCAGCTCAAAATAATCTGCAAGCTAAAGAGGCATTTTGGGGTGATAAATTTTGCTCCTCTGCAGTGCCGCCTTTGGAACTCCTCTTAAGAAGTCTTCACAGTCCAGAAGTTTAGTTGATAGGTTGCTTTCTACCTCACTGAGCCAGCCTCTTAGTCCTGACAGTGGGTCAGTTCAGTTACTTATTTCAGGAAGTAATGATGCAGATGAGCTCTCAAAGTTAGGTGTATAGGGTGTAAGCAATCCGGTATTTAATAAGAGGCATTTCTATGGTAACAAAAGAAAAATAATGGTTAATAATTGGAGCAAATTATAAACCCAGTATCTGAGTCCTGAGTGCTGCCAGTCAAGAAGATATCAGGGTTGTTGACTGAAAAATAAATGCACTACCTAAAAGTTGAGAATTATGTTTTATTCTGCAGGCTTTCTGAGGACTCGAGCCCAGGAGGCAGATAGCTCTAAGGGACTGCTCCAAAGAGGTAAGGGAGCAGCCAGGGTATATAGGGGGTTTTGCAACAAAAATCATTTAGTCAGAACATTGAAAGATTACTATTAATTAAAGAAAACCAGACATCTCAAATTAATGAATTTAGTGATTTTCTATGTATGGCAAGGTGCAAAAGTCTGGGCTCACTGAACAACGACAAACTTCCTGAAGCATGGGAGGAAAACGTAAGTGTGGTGAAGATGGCCTTTCTAAGCAAGATACAACCCCGCAGGCAATACATTTCATAAAATTTAAAATGTAGGTATGAAAAAAGACAACATAAACAACTAAACAGAAACTGGGCAAAAATAATTGTCACATATGAAATAGGAAAATATAGATATTCAAGATGTATGAAGAGCTGCTATAAATCCATTGGAAAATGAAAAATAACTAATGGAAAAATGGGCGAAGGGTATGGATTGATGATTCACAAAAGGACCACAAACACCAAGAAACATTTAAGAATAACCATGAATAATCAGCAGCGTGGAAAATAAAACTCAGTGTGGTATCATTTTATCTCCATTAAATTGGTCAAGAACGTTAAAAGATTAGTAATATCCACCTCAGGCTACAGTGCGGACACAGTCAGCTGAAAAAAGTGCACAACGTACGAGCTGAGGGTATGTTCTATTCAGCAGACATTCCTGAGGACTTAAGCCCAGGATGACAGCCTCTCAGATGGCTCTGAGGGACTACTCTGAAGAGGTAAGGGAGGAGCCAGGATATAGGGGAGCTTTTGCGAAAAAGACCAGGTAGTCAGAACATCAAGATTATTGCTAATTAAAGAAAACCAGGCATCTCATACTAAGGAATTTAGCACTTTTTAAGAATGGGAAGATGCAAAAGTCTGGGTTCATTGAAATCATCCCTTTGATATGCCCTGAGGTATCTATGGCCAGTATCTAGGGCCAGTACCTCTTTCTTTCCCATCCTGAGTTCCCTCTAGAGGCACCTTTAGGGGTGGCTGCAGAGGCCGGACAGCTTGCATGTTTTCATCCTGAGGTCGTTCTGGCTCACCCTAGGGTGAAGCAATAGTGGATGATGATTTGATGGCCGGAGCATCCTTATTTACTGACAAGCAGGCAGTATTTTTCATTCATAATATACTTTCAAACATTTTAAATTGGGTTGAGCCATTCTGGAGAGCAGTATGGTAGTATTTATCAATATTAACAACACGCCTATTCTTTAAGCAAAATTCAACTTTGAGTAATCTTGTCGGAAACAACCCCAACATACATAGAAAGGCATATGCATACTGATGTTCACCACAGCATTGTTTGCAATAGGTGAAAAAGTGGGAAAAACCTAAGTGCTCACCAACAGTCAAATGTTTAAAAATGGACTGAGAAATACATACAACAAATTATTCCAAGAAATAGGCTTCTTCATTGATTAAAAATAGATTTATAGCAAAAAAAAAAAGAAAAAGAAAAAGAAAATAGGAAAAAAGCAAGCTGTAGAACAATATTGTCTTATTTTCCCGGTTATATTTAAGAAATCCAACTGAAGTGTGTGTGCACACAACGTTTGCTTACGTAGGCTCTTGAAGGTTGCACACCAAACTGTTATATGACTTAATACCCCGCAAAGCCTTAGGCTGTGCCTTATTATACACTGTGTTATATAAGAGTAAGCTTTTTTTTTTATGATAATACAGTCCTAGATCACTTCTGTAATTTAAAAATAAATGTGTTTGCGGTTATGTTAACTCCCCTCACCCAACTGCCTGCCAAGCGCAAGGACATTTACTAAAATCCCTTCACCCTGAGAGCCCTGCACGAGGTCTGACACATACCGGCCCCCAATATGTGCAGGCGGCTGCCCCTTCCCACCTCTCCGCGCACCCAAGCGAGATCCTAAGGCCAACAACCGCCCAGTCCGAATCCTAAACCCTCAGCAGCCCGAGCAGCCTCCGGCCGCCCGGCACGCGAGCGCGAGAAGGCGGTGCCCAGAAGCCCCGCCTCCCGGCGCGCAGACGTCACTGGGCGGCGCCGCGCAGTGTCTGACGCGCCTGTGAGCCGCCTTCCGGAAGGATCCCAGCAGCCGGCTATGGCTACTGTCGCCGAGCAGCTGGGGCTGGTGGAGATGGTACGGGCGCTGTATGAGTTGAGCTTGGCGGGAAGTGGGACGTTTCGAGTGGGTTTATGGTCGGAGGCCTGGGCGGGGCTGGCTAGGGTCACGCCCGGACTCTCGGCGTCGGTCGCTGGAAGGGCTCCCGGGCGCACACACTTCCCGGCGACGGAGGGGAGGGAGAGGCTCGGGTGGGAGCCGGAAACGGGAGTCGGGTTTTGCGCTCTGGCGAACGCAGAGCCTTCTCTAAGTCCTGTCAGAGGCAGAGAGGCTGGTCAAGAACCAGAGTTGGGACTGACGGTAAAACGGGATGGTGAAAAACCTCAAGTCCGCAGGGGTCCTAGGGAAGTAGGGTCCTTGGAACTGCGGAGCAGGTAACGGGAAAGAACTGTAATGCGCTGGGGTTTTGGTCGGGAGCTGGAGTTCGAATGGAAGACGAATAATTTAGGAATGTGAAAGAATCTGTCATTCTTCCGCATACGTCCCGTTTTCTGTCTTGTAAAGATACCACTATTTTAGTGACTGTTTAAAGGAAGACTAGTTAGGAGGGTTTTTTTTGAAAGGCCAGCTATTTCAGGTGTGTAAGATAATATGAAATCAAAATGTCAGCATTGGAGGATGTTCATTCATTTGACATTAGTGAATTTCTCTGCTCTGTACAATAGAACTTTATGCTTGTTCTCTATCTGAGCTGTTCAGTACAGTAGCTGCTAACCACATGTGGCTATTAAGTGCTTGAAATGTGGTTAGTGCAACTGAGGGCTGAAGTTTTTATTTAACTTAGATATATATTTAAATAGTTGAATGGTGACTGGTGGCTACAGTATTGGACAGCACAGGTCTAGATGCTGGGAACAGTGCAGGGAACAAACAGGCAAATGTCTCTGGACTTGTAGGACTTACATTCATTTAAAGTAAATCTGTTTTCTTTTGATAATTTTTTTAAAGCTTAGTATTGCTGTTTATTGGCAGGGGTGATGATGCAAGACATATCATTGGAAGACCTATCAGGACTTTTTGAAAAAACAGTTAAGAGAGCAAATCTGGGGTTGTCCAACCTTAGGCTAATTAAAATGACTAAGAAGAGCCACTAAAATTAAAGATTTCTTTTTTTTTCCAGAAATGAGTAACTTATATGTATTGTTGCTATGTTTTTGAAGACTGCCCTATGGTTATGTAACTTCTTATACCCTGGTATTGACCATGAGGGAGTTGTGAGAGAAGTCCTCCTGGATGTAATATTTCCTGGGGAAGAAAACAAGCTGCATTTGTGATTTTTATTAGTTCACTGAACATCCTTTTCTAAGGATGATTTTTCTGTGGAGTGGAATGTTTAACTAGTGACTTGGACCTTTGCCCACTAGAATACAATTATTGAGAAAACCAGAAGGGTTTTTAGAGTCCTGATTCTTGAATTATATTCGGGAAGGATCAGCAATTTAAAAAAATAATCTTAGCCTTCTGTTCTTGCTTCTAATTCCCATGCATCTTGTATGTAGAATTTGAATAGTCTTGTTGTGTACCCATACATCTGTAACTTGAATGTAGCTTGAAATGTATTTGTGCATTGACCTGAAAGTTTATATATGAATTTGTCAGCAGTTTCCATGTTCCTACTCGAGTGTTTTTTTTTTTTAACTATGGTGAATCATCATCACTTTCTTTCTATCTAATGCTTGAAAATAATTTGTAATTACATTTCTAAATACCTCTTTTAAGTGACTTTCCAATGACAACCTATTGGAATATAGCACCCCATAACTGACTGATGGGGGGTTAGTTGATACCTGGAATCTTCCACATGCACTTATTGTGTCTAGTGGTATAAAACATAAAAGGCAGCCTGGCCTTTATCCTGGAAACGTACAGTTGAAAAGAAGACCTGACATGGATAATTTCATTAATGTACCTTTATGCCTGTTGACATGGAAAAAACACTGCATACTTTTGGGGAGCTACAGTAGAAAAGAGGCCTGCTTTTTCATTAAGCATTTACAAAGCCTTTTTTCTCTACTGTGTTCCAAGGAGGATTTAAAGAGGCTCGTCAGGGATCCAGAAGATACAGTAAGATGTGCAAAACTCTTTAAGAATTGTGGAAACAGGTTTCCAGGTAATTCTCAACTCATTATGGTACATGGGGGTGGTGGAAGCCTTGTGACACTGTGGAATGTTTGTTACAGTCATTTCCTACCAGTAAAAATATAAATTACCTGAAAGATCTGATAGTTGATACTGTTTCACTTTGGAATTCTGTGGATTCTTTTTAAAAATTTATTTTTATTCCTAAAGCTGTAGCTTTAGAGATTTTTCACATTAGGAGAAATTGATTTCTGTTAGAAATGGGAAAAGGAATGAGTAGAAATAAAGTGAACTTTGAAAGTTAATTTTAAGAAGTAATACATAGGTTAAAGGCAGCAGTATACGCAGGTGCGTTAAGTTTTATGTGCGGGTTTTGGAAATGTTTATTTCATTTCTTGTTTTTGTTTTGCTCTTGTTTTTGATTCACTCCCAGGCTCCTGCTTATCATCTTATTTTGGAAGGAATTTTAATATTCTGGATAATCAGACTTCTTTTTTCTAAAACTTACAAATTACAAGAATGATCTGATCTTACAGTCAAGGTAAGAAGTTAAATCTCTGTTTTATTATTCTGTGTATGATTATAGTTGCTACATATTGCAGGAAAGGACTTGTGGTGTCTCAACTATATACATTAAAATATTTTCTGGAATGTAAGGAAGTCAAGGGGAGTGAAATGTCAGGGCAAGTAAAATATGGGGAAGCCAGGGATGAAATAAGTACACAAAGGAGTACCGTGTTGCAGGCCCCTGTGATTTGCTGGGAGTAAACAGCAGTCTGGAAACATACTAGATGCTGGAAGGGAAGTGTGGGCAGCTGCAGAATTTTGGGTATCTGCAGACAAGAGTACATGAGTTGCTCAGGGAAAGCACCCCTATTTCTGGAGCCTGCATGAGCTTTCCCCATGGTCTCCTTCATAAAAGAAGTTCAGAAAGAATCCTCCCCACCCCCGCACTCCCTACCTCCCCCCCCCAGGCCCAGTTCTGACGGGTTCTGTGTGGTGAGGGGCCCAGCTGAAGCCCAAGCCAGGTGAAGCTCAGGAAGCAGAAGTGTCCGAGACCTGGGGTGCTGCCCACCTGGGGCCTGTTAGTATGAGGAACCCCAGGGGTTTATGGAAAAGAAACTTGTCCTTCTCATGCAGGTAGGAACACTGAGGAACTGTGCCTCAGGTGAGAGAGGAGAGAAGCAGTTCTGCCTGCACTGTGGTTTCTGTCCCTTGGGCTGTTTCCCTGTCCATCCCCTATAGCAGTGTGCTGGAAAGCTTAGGGTAGACAGGGGCGTTTTTCCTGCAAAAATGTCTAAAACTTTGGTTCACAAGGCAGCACCGAGTGCAGCCCAAAGATGGAGCCCTGCGCTGTTCACTTGCTGGAGCGTTTGCAGGAGAAAGTGCAAGTGGAATAGAACCCCAGGAACGTGGCCGGTGCTTCCCTGGTGTCGCTGACTGGGCCCCGCTGTCCTGATCGTTAACATTTATCATGAAATGGTCAGGCAGTGTCCCCCCAGGGGACACGTGG